GATGCTGCATGGTATTCATTGTGTTATATGCCACATTTTTTCTGATCCAGTCTAATAATTGATGGACACTTTGGGGTTCCAAGTCCTGTTGCTATTGGAATTAGTGGCTGGCAAGTAAAAACATACGTGTCTGCATGTGTCTGGTTATTTGAGCCGCGATGACTTAGTAATGCCTTTGGGGTATGATACTCCAGGAATGGGGAGAGGGCTGGGTCAAATGTATTTCTATTCTTAGGTCCTTGAGGGATCGACCACACTGTCTTCCACGAATGGGGTTGAACTAGTTTACAGTCCTACCAACAGGCTAAAAAATGTTCCTTATTTCTCACATCCTCTCCAGCACCTGTTGTTTCCTGACTTTAAGATTGCCATTTCTAACTGGTGATGATATGGTATCTTCCATTGTGGGTTATTGATTTGATTTCTCGAATGCAAGTTGATGATGAGCACTTTTTCAGGGGTCTTGTGCTGCCGGATAAATGTCTTCATTTGAGAAGGTGTCTGTCATATCCTTGTGGCCCTTGTTTTGATGGTTGTTTTCTTGGTAAATTTGTTGAGTGTCTGTTGGTTATCTGGTATAGGCCCTTGGTCGGGATGAGTGATTTGCATATAATGTTTTTTCCCGTTGTCTGTAGGATTGGCTGTTCACTTGATGGTGGTTTCTTTTGCTTTGCAGAAGGCTCTTTAGTTTTATTAGTCCATTTGGTCAATTTCTGCTTTGTATGCCATTGCATGTTGTGGTTTTTAGACATGAAGTCCTTGGCCCATGCCTAGGCCCTCAATTGGTATTTGCCCTAGGGTTTCTTTCTTATGGTTTTTGGATGGTTTGGTTCTAAACTTAGTCGTTTAACCATCATGAATGGCATTTTTTGTCTTAGGTGTAAGGACACAAGGATCCAGTTCAGCTTTTCTAAATATGCTAGGCCCGTTTTCTCAGCACCATTTATTAAATAGGGAATTCCTTTCGCCTTGTTTTTGTCATGGGTTTGCAGATCAGCGATGGGTTTGGAATGTGGGTGTATTTCTGAGGGGCTCTGTTCTGTCCATGGTTTATATCTCTGTTTTGGTACTAGACCATGGTTGCGGGCGGTTAGCTTTAGTTTGAGTTGGACGTCAGTGCTAGTGATTGTCCTCCGCTGTGTGTTTTTGGCTTAGAGTTTGGACTTAGCATTATGTGGCTCTTCCTGATTTTTCCATTTTATGAACTTAAGGGCTTTAGTTTGTTTCCAACTCTGTGATAAGGAAAGTCTATTGTAGTTTTGTATGGGTGTCATTGTGATTTCTTATAAGTGTGGAGCCCTTGGTGGCCATTATGGCCATTTTGATCGAATAGTCAATTTTAGATCTTTCCTGCTTTCTCTTGTGGGAATTTAGTGCTATAAATTTCCCTCTACACTGCTTTAAATGTGTCCCAGAGATTCTGGTATGTTGTATCTTTGTTCTCGTTGGTTTCAAAGAACATCTTTAAATCTGCCTTCATTTCATTATGTACCCAGTAGTCATTCAGGAGCAGGCTGTTCAGTTTCCATGTATTTGAGCGGTTTTGAGTGAGTTTCTTAATCCTGAGTTCTAGTTTGATTGCACTGTGGTCTGAGTGACAGTTTGTTATAATTTCTATTCTTCTACATTTGCTGAGGAGTGCTTTACTTCCAACTATGTGGTCAATCTTGGAATAAGTGCGATGTGGTGCTGAGAAGACTGTATATTCTATTGATTTGAGGTGGAGAGTTCTGTAGATGTCTATTAGGTCCGCTTGGTGCATCAAGTTCTTAATCACACCATATACTTCCTCCCTCACAAAAGAGTGAATGATGTGTTCAAAGCCATAGTTAGTGGCACAGTCATGACAAGCACCAGATTCTTGAGTTATAATTATACATTTCAACCATTAGTGAGCTGGCCACAAATATCATCCCTAAGACAACAGCCATCCTCTAGAAGAAGGGACAAAAAGTCATTATCTGTTTCTTTATAGTCTTTAATATATGCTATTAATGAAAATTAATTATTGAATCCAAAATTCATTCAGGAGCCTGCTACATCAGCCATCAATAAAACACTTTGCAAAATGTCCCAAAACTAACAAACAGGGAAAAATCATATAATCAGAACTTGGTAAGTGGGAGATCATCTAGTTAAGTGGTTCTGAAAACATTTAAGCCTTGTAACCCTTTCCTCAAATAAAAGCTTTTTAGGAACCCCAGTAAGTAAAACAGTGAACACCCAAAGTGGACCTGCTCTGCTTGGGATGGATAAAAGCTGCTAGAATTCCCCTCTCTCTGCCCTCTCTCTACTTCCCAGCAGCCCCCTGAGCAGACTCCAAAGAGTCAAGAGACCAAGGATTATTTCTGCCTTTTGTTTTGTTTTGTTTTGTTTGAGACAGGGTCTCATTTTGTCACCCAGGCTAGAATGTAGTGGTGTAATCATAGCTCACTGCAGCCTCAAATTCCTGGGCTCAAGCAACCCTCCCGCCTCAGCCTCCAAGTAGCTAGGACTACAGTCACTTGCCGCTATGCCCCTCAAGAGCCCAGTTTTGAAGCCATCATACTAGTTCACCCCAGTTTCTCTGAACCCTTGAGAGGTGATGAGTCTTGCCCAAGGTCATTCAGTGAGGTCATGCCAGAGTCAAGGTCAGAGCTCAAGCTCTGAGTCCTCCCTGATTCTCTTTTGACATCCCCACTGCATGCTCTGTTGACTTGGTTTTCCGGCAACTGTGAATATCCTTGCAGCAGGCAATAGCATGTGCCTTTCTGAGTGCATCTACATGGGCAGCAATAAAAGAAGCCAGAATGCCCAGCAGGGGGAAGATAAATAGAGCAAGACATTGGCAGACTT